TATATACTAATGCAATTTTGAAGGAAAATAGTTAAGTAATTATTTATTACAATACATTTCTCCAATAAAGAAAAGGAACAATGTGTGTGCTGTTAATTATAGTTCTTAGAAATGAAATCAACATCAGCAGGTCAGACTTGCATCATAAGAAATTGCAAAATATAGTGATAAAACCACCTTTCTGTAAATCTCCACCAGACACAAAGCAATATTGTGCATGTTATACATCAACATATGCCCTTCCTGCTTTTTAGAGCCAAATGGATGCAATCAAATGAAAAATCATCAGTAACAGCTAAATATATCAAAACAGAATCAGAATTAAACTAAAATGATCAGTGTCTGTATTCTGATAGCCATTTCTTAGTCTTCATGCCCAATAGTACTGTCAAAAGTACACAATTCCAACTTACGTGACCTGCTGCCATCATCAGAACTGCTCCCAGATGTTTGATGCAAAATAATTGTTGATGCACCACTTGAGTCTGCATCATTTTCTTCTCTGAAGTCAATGAGACTCCTTTTCTTTGGCTGGCCCCTCTCTGGAGTGGGCCCCTGCCTCTTTTGTGGGGACTTCACATTCTGCAGCCTCTTGTGAAGATTGTTGTAAATGCTCATCTGTGGTAAAAAAAAAAAGGTTTGGTTATTATTAGATGCCTTCTTTTTATGTTAGAGATAAACCACGGCAGACAAAATAAATAAACAAACATATTTACCACAAATTTAAATCACTTACATGCTTCATAGTTTTGTCTTTATCCTGTAGCATTGGGTAATATTCCCCAAGTCTTTTAGCCATTGATGTGACTTCATGCTTGGAAGGGTACCGGACATCCTTTCCTTGTTCACTGGCTCTCAAGATGGAAATCATGCTGGTGACAGTGTCCTCACCAGTCTGCATCTCAGCTCTTTGGGACATGACACACTCCCCTTCTCTGCCAGTGTGGGCCATCTCAGAGTAGTGCTTGCGAGCTTGTTCCAACTCACTGTCTGTATAGACCACGTATACTCTGGAGGGCTGGGAAGCTGCAGCGTCTTCTTTGGACTTTTCATCACCAAAGGAGAAGATGACTGAGGGCAGATTGGGAGGCACTCCTCTAGGTGAAGACACTGTTCCTCCTTCACTAGGGCCAGATTTGACATTCCCATCCTACAAGATAAAAAACACAACGTACAGAAGTTAAACAACAGACTTAGAGTTAGAAACCACATGATAGATATTTTAGAGTAAAGTAGGTACCCACTACCTCTGGGTTGATAAGGGCCCAAACTCGTTTCCTCCTGAGAAAGTGTTCCGGGCCAGGAAAAAGGTCTCGCAAATCATCACGGTTGAGGGTGTGGAGCAAGGTCTCGTCAATATTGGCAGCTATAAAACAGTACAATCATTAAAAGCTTTTGTAAATTTTCTGGCATTTTAAAAATTATAGATAAACTGGTATTTAACATGGCAGGTGAAAGTATACGTTCTAAATCCTCTGGTATATCTTGTCCATACCTAGACTGAATACAATTTAAATATTTGGTGTCTTGAAATTGTTAAAAGGTTTACAATAATTTTATTTTGAGATCAGTGTATTAGCTATTGGACAACACACATTATTAAGCAGCTTTTAACACTATACCTAGCATACCATTTAAAATTGATGTTGTGACATCATCCAGTTTATCCATGATTGTCCCCTCTACGAACTTCTTTATCTTGTGGGAAGAAAATCACAACTTAACACAATAAATCAGCCAATAATGAAAAAAAACAGCTTTTTTTAAAAACAAAACGACATGTTCAGATAAGATTTTGCAGGTAAGGACCTAATTTTAAACATGCTATCAACATACAAATTATTTATGCATGTATCTACATAACCTTTTTAATTCACTGCATGTGTTTAGCACCACAACGACGCAAACCCTTATGATTAAGTGCATTCACGTCTGCAAGAAAGTAACTTTATAACATTAATACCATTTAAAAAAATATTAGCTTACTTCAATGGTGTCTGCCACATGTTCAAAAAATGTCTATTGAACAACTGAAAAAAATGAGTCTGCCAGGTGAATTGTAACGTTAGATAGGCTATTAACCAATATGTTGTTCACAGTTCGTTGTTAACGGAGCGAGGGACAGAATGCTCTTTTTGTATTTTTACTCAGGATAGCGCCTGTGTTTCACGTGGCACAAAGAAAGTCAGACTGAAGAAAAAATATTTATATTTGGTTAGAACTTAATAAGTTTAGGAGAGCTAGTGCTAGCCAAGCAAATACAAATGAACTTAGCTGGCAATGACTTGCATTAAATTAGCATTAGCAATATTTCTTCCTGCACTGTATAGAACGAAAACCAACAAGTCAACTTATGCTAACAAATCAGCTTGCTTAAGTATTGCTGCACCAGGGTGCAGCTTTCGTAGTAACTCAAATTCAATATACTTTTAATGAAAAAGCATACCTTGTCTCATGGCAGGTTTGTAGGAGAAGTTTCCTATTAGTGGCAGTATTTAATCCAAAGTGGCGGTTTCTTTCTATGGGAACAGACGTTTAGACGTGACC